TGCTGCCGATCTCTGTCCAGGAAGACATCTCACCAGCCGGTAAATCTTCCCTTCAACTTCCACGAAAGCTCTTTCTTCTTCAGCTTGGTTCGCCATGAGGAAGGCATCCCTTACGTCAAGGGTCACGGCTGAGAACTCCTTGTAGACGTTGAGCATCATGTGTATCAACATCTTGGGCAGCACCATGATCGATGTGGGCGCGAACGTTTGTTCGATGTCCACGCTGGCCTTGAACTGCCTGGCCACTAGTCGGGCTCTCCTGAACCATCCTCCTCTTTCTGCTCTATGCTTCCATGTCTGGACGAACTTGGTCAAGATGACGTAGCCCCCACATTCTGCCACTTCTTCTCTTGTTGACTCCTCCATGGGAGGGATGTTCAGCATCCGCTGTACTTCAACCTTTCGAGCTTCACTGTCGAGCAGTTGGAGGCGTTCCTCAGACGTGATTGGAGGATCCTCATCTTCTTCTCCTCCATATCCTGCAAAAAGCTCCTCGCTGATCTCGTCCGGATGAGGTCTGCTCCCAGTTCTTCATCTCCATGAGCCTCAATTGCTTGGATTCCTGCGTAATGAGGACGATACAGGCGAGATGACTTATTTGGTGATGCGCTTGCCATAGCTTCTCCACCTTCCTCTGCTGTCCTCGCCACTCCTCTGGGTGGTTCCAGGTTTGAGCTCTCCTCAACAGCACTTGTCTCCTCATTGATCTTCTGCCTCTTCTCATCACCTGAGTCCGACGCTTCATCTGTCGTCCTCTTCTCATGGTTTCTCCGGGGCGAAGTTGCGTCATCCAACTTCTTAGCATCTGGACCAGCCTCCTCTGTCTCAAGACTTCTCTTCGCTCTTGGAGTCATCGGAATGACAGCTGGGGTTGCAGGCGCTCCGCCGGCAAAACCTGGTGTAGATGGCTGCGCTTGTAGACCTGGCGCAGGTGTGACCACTCCTGCTGCTACAGCGTCTCGTACTGCCTTCAGCTCTTCTTCTGTTGCCTCAGCTTCCAATGTAGGCTGTCTGTAGCGCTGCGCCGCTCCTGCGTGCTTCATCAGGATTCCTTGTGGGCTATATGCCCACGGCAGGCCTTTGACAATCACCAGATCACTGGCAATGAATGCTTCCTCAGCTGCTAGCCTTCTGGTGGTCCTTGCCTCAAATGCACCTGCGGCTGTCAAGACCACATGGTGATCGTTCCAGCTGTGCTGTCCAACCCACACACCTCGCTCGAAGATATCATTGGCCTCGTACTTGGTGAGCTTCTTGAACATCACAGATTCCCCGAAGAGCGCTAGTTTTCCTCTGTACGCATGGCCTGTTGCCAACTCACAGCTTGTCTTTCCAACCTTCTCCAGGACACGAAACCTGTTGAGCAGGAACGCTGCATATAGCGGAAAGACCAAGGGTACACGCGCATGTTCCCCATGATGTTCACCTTTGCTCTGGTCTCTGCAAAGCTCCGCAAGCAGATTGCAAGTCGTCTCACGTTTTGGACTGCTCTTTCTGCTTGGCCATTCGAGGCGTGTTGATTTGTCCCTGTCGTTCTGGGAGACACAGGAGTCCATGGAGCTGTTCTCGAGGGAGAATCTCACAACTTCCTCTGTGACAGTTTTTTGAAGCTCGCTGTTATTTGTGGGCACTGGCACAACGTACTGCCTTCGTCTCCGAGCCTGCCATCACTAAGCACGTCCCGAATTGGTCAGACCGCTCCTTCACCTTATCCACAAGTCCTTCGTCTCCTCTCACATCCTCACCTGCGAAGGTGTAGAAGAAGTCCAACTGGATGACATTCTTCCCGAGGTCGGCCTTCTCTTCCCTTTGCTCGAACTTGTCCTTCTTCGCTCTTGTCGCCACACATGCTGGGCAGAGTCTGGGTTGTCCCAAGGCTGTAGGCTTTCTCTCCTGCTCTTCAAACAACTTTTGCTGGCAATGGACAGCTTCATCTGGCTCTCGAGGTTCACCTTGAAGGCGATCAAGCGGTCAAGTGGCCTTCGTTTGCTCCCACTGTAAGGTAGCTGTCTCTCCTTGCGTGCCAGTTGAAGTTCCTTCACTGTCATCTTCTCTGCGTAGAGCGTCTCATCCAGCTCTACCTCATCTTTCCTCTCAGCAACCACCATCTTTTCGATGTCTTTTGCATCCATCTGCATCTCTAGTTCATCCTCGTTCTCATACTCATCTTCTGACCAGTCTGTTCTGCCTTGAGCTTCTCTCATCTTCTCCTCAGGCAGTGGACGAACAGGAACCTCTGAGTCTTGCTCCCAGTAGTCTTCCATCTTGGAGGCCGCAAAGAAAGTGATTGTCCTCTGGGGGCCGCCCAAACCGATCTTGCGATAGGCCTGAGATCCTAGCCCCACATGTCTTTAACCAGTGTCATTCTCGACTTCCATGTCTCCTCAATCTGGCCTCGTGGGTCCACAAGGGCCGTGGCCACTGGCCAGCCGGCGCCAGCCCGCCCGCTCCAACTCCTTCACATATCTGCTCAGTGATCCTCTGAGCGCCAACACCACTGCAGGCTTCTCCATCTTTCTCACAGCCTCCTCCTGCTGCTTGTCTTCACTCTCATGGTCTCGACCACATAGATTTTGCTGCAAATTCCGTTCATCGCTGGTCGGAAGCACAACGCTTCTTTGCGCCGCAGGGCCAGACTGCCCCCTTCATTCTCGATGCACCAGCCTTTCCTGAGGAGTCGTCCAGCACATTGGATTCTTCACATTCCCAAGAACGAACTCCTCCACCATCTCTACATTCATCTGTCGTGCGCAGCCTTGCTTTTGTAACCCCATCATGGGCTTTGGTTTTCCCTGCACGTCCACCATCTTAAGACTCAGCGCCTGGCGGCCATTGTCCCACGTTCCCATAGGACTTGGGCAGGACGGAGATGTCCGCCCCACTGTCAAGTGCCAGCAGGCACTGCTCGATATCACTCTGGTCCATCCTCACCATCTGGACCAGCTGCTCTTGAGCTTCGTCTTGCAAGTCCGCGCCACAACGCTAATGCCCTCCGGCATGTCCACCACGGGCTCAATGCAGTCCTCGAACTCACTCTCGCAGCTTTCCATCTCAACATCACTGTCATTCTCCACTTCGACCATGCCCACACGCCATGGATACGCATGATCTTCTGATCCTGAACCACTTCCAGTCAAATCGAAGATCTCGAGGCTGTGGGAATCTGGTGAGGTCTGCAATCTCACCATCTTGACGGAGGATGTTGTCGTCACTGTAGGTGGTCCCTGTTCACCTGTCGACGAAGAGGCTCCTCCACTTGTCTCCTCAACTGGCGCCACTCTCTTGCTGCTCCAGCAATGCTTGGCATAGCGCCCAACCTTTCCACAGTTGTGGCATGCTCCAGTGACTTTTCCTGCCTTTCCTTTCTCTTGACTCTTTCCTTTCTTTCCAAATCCTCCTTTCTCCCACGAGCTCTTTCCTTTGTCACCGCTCTTCCATGCGCTCTTTCCCTCTGATTTGCCTTTTCCTTTCTCCTTCCCTTTAGGCTTTCCCTTGTCCTTTGACTTGCGCTTACCGCCTTTCTTGCCTTTGTCACCTCGAATGTAGTCCACCTCCATGCGAACTGTCCATTCCCAACCTGGTGGGCAGACTCAAGCTGTTCGAGCTGTCCCATCTTGTTGCCAGGCCCCCTAGCTCCATCACCTTATTCTTCAATTGCTCATAGGTGGTTGAATCCATGATCCAAAGCTGCAGATGGGCTCTCAGATGCGCTGGTACAGCTTGAAGGATGGAGGCCACTTTGGCGTCATCGGCGCAGTCATGCCCTGAAATCCTCTCATACTCATTGACAAAGTTGCTCGGATATGGACTTTCCTTCTGCGAATTGCACCCGAGACAACTGGGTCAACAGAGCCAAAGGCCGGGCTCTTGTGACCGGCTGCATCTCTCGTAGGAGCCGCTGCCAGGCCTCGTATCCGTTCTCCTGCTTCATGTGCCTGATCAGCTTCAGCGGTCGGTTCCTGAGGTAGGAGCAAGCTGTACAGGCGAATGGAGGCATCAAGCTCGTAGCTGCCGTTCAGGTTCTCCTCCACCAGCCTCATGCTATGAGCCATGCCTGGGCCGATGCCTTTCACATAGTTCTCAAAGGAGAATTTCCAATCACTCCATTGTTTCAGCTCATTGTCCCTGGTGTCAGGCTTGAAGATGTCTGGAGTTTTCAGGTGGCGAGACCAAGATGTTGAGCTTTGGCTCACACTCAATCTCTCCAAAGCTTGTGAAATCTTCTGTAAGCTCTCTTCGGCCATTGCAGCCAAGTAGGAAATGTAGGGCCTGTACGTCCTCGTGGTCAAGGTGGGTGTCTTTTCTGAGTGGTTGGGCTCAAAGTCAAAGTAGTCCAGAAATTGGGTGAAGCCCCAATTGGCCACTAGGTCACTGATGACCTCCTTGTCGGTGTTGTCCCTCAGCTTCTCGATCTTATCGATGAGCTTCCAGCCAGCTGGGACCAAGACAACCAGCTGCTTCTGCTCCCTGGATCGCTTCTTCCTCCTTTTGTCCTTCTCTCTGACCGTCAGGGTGGCCTTCACCACACGGTCGCTGCGTGCCCACTTTAGCTTCCCCACGCGTTCACTGGTCTCCACCAGGATGGTGTGGAGGTACCTGACCTTCCACTTGCCAGTCTCGTGCACCACGTTGGGGCTTTGGTAGTAGCAGATCTCCTGGATGGAGGGACCGCCGGCTCCACCTGCTATCCCGGCCAGGAGCAAGAGCTCAACCAGCCAGAATCCCACCGTAGTCGATCGTGCCGAAGGTGACCGGGATCTCGACCTGATGCTTCGACCAGGAATCGTGGTGCCTATGGCGTGGGGTAGGGAGCCGGGCACTTTACGACCCGGCTCCGCTACCATGCGAAGCGCACAAAATGCTTTTCGCTCGGGCCTAAAGTAAAAGCGGTACGCGTCTTGATTTGTGCACAGGTGTATGGATGGGTGCTACATTCCATGACTTTCTGACATATACTGTATATGAGGGTATGACATGCTTCTGCACAGCGAGCTTTGGGTTCAATTGTGTGGGAGAGGCAGCATGACAGTGAAAAGGGCAAATAGACCACACAAGGACAAGGGTGCCATGAATCCTATGTCTTTTTCAAATGTTTCTTTACATGATTCCACCCACCCCACATTACCGGCATACGGCCTCGCTTCAAACTTTTTGGCTAGCGTCTTCAAAGAGGAACTGGCCTGGGAACCATTCCCTAACACGTCCGAGCATACTGAGAGCAAAAGAGCATTCACGCTGGTCGGCAATGGCTTCGTTCCCGCACAATCAATTCAAAATCGCATCTGCAAAGCATGTGACAACGTCCTGCGAGAAGCCATATTGCAAGTGGACCATGGTCAAAAAGTACACAAAAAGCGATACACTTGCTCATGTCGAGTTGAAGCGTGTTATTGGATAGGACAAGAGCCTGCCAAAGCCTAGTCCAAAAGTAGCTGGAGGAGCTTGAATGAAGATCAAAAACCCATAGAAACCATGATTTGCAGGTCCAATAACTTTCAAACACTCTCAACTTGCACCAGTCACTCCATAAGTCGCCTAGTGGCCCCGGTGCCACCATCCTGGCTGGCTCCCCGCTCCAGGTCATCCAGGATCTCCAAGAGTTCGGAGACCACAGCAACTTTAGTCTCCGCTGCCAAGTTTCGGTTAACCTTGGCAGGTCTCCGGTCAACCTTTTGGCATGAAGACTTGGGTCTGTGGGTGACATGCCCACAAGTTGCAGGTGTTCGTAGAGGCCTTTGATGAGACCTGGGAAAACAGCGGGTCTACAAGTCCAGTGAAAAATGCAGTTTGCAGATGTTTGCAGCACATGTGGGCTAGAGCTTCACAATTCCACCAGGAGAGCAGGTATCACTTGTCCTACACTTGTCCCCACACCAAAATACTGCAAGAGCGATCTGTTCACATGATCTTGTCAAACAGGCAAAACACTGAGCTAGTCGAAGAGCAGGTTTGTAAACCCAGAACTGATTCAGCAGTTCAGGATGCCAAGTTCCAGACCTCTTGCAGCCGGTAATATTTGGTGAAAAGTTCACCCATGGTGTCCTGGATGCGATGAATAAAATGTTATATATATAGTTTATTGCAGTTGTGCGTTGGAGTGTCAAAGTTTTTTTACATAGGTTCAAGGCTTTTACAAAGTCCAAATTGAAAGAAATTTCATACGCTTCGTGTCCACTCAGAAAGCAACGCATTCCATCTACCTCAGGCCTGGTCCTCTGCACGCCGCAGGCATCGCGCCCGCGGTGAAGGCACTCGGCCGCGCAGTGTGAAGAATGCCAAGCATTGTTGCCAGGAAACGAAGAGAATCGCCACGAGAACTGCGCACGGTGAGGCCAAGGGGATCAGTCTCGTGTACAGACAAAAACGCACATGTAGGGTGGCGGTAGTGGCACTGGTCCTGGTCGTGGTGATGGTGGTGGCATTCATAGTGTAATGGTGGTAGTAGTAGTAGTAGTAGTAGTCGTCGTAGTAGTAGTAGAAGTAGTAGTAGTCGTAGTCGTAGTAGTAGTAGTCGTAGTCGTAGTCGTAGTCGTAGTAGTAGTAGTAGTAGCAGTAGTAGTAGTAGCAGCAGCAGGAGTAGTAGTAGTAGTAGAAGTAGTAGAAGCAGCAGTAACAGTACAGTAACGGTAACAGTAACGGTACCAGTAGTCATCGCCGTTGCAGCAGCAGCAGCAGCAGCAGGAGTAGTAGTAGTAGTAGTAGTAGAAGAACAACAACAACAAGAAACAGTAGTAGCAGCCGCCGCCAGTAATTAATAGCCGTCGCTGCCAGTAGTAGCCATCGTCATCGTCATCATCATAATAGTGCTAGTGGCAGTGGTATTGGCAGCAGTAAAAGTAGAAGCAGAAGCAGCAGATATCGGGCCAATTCAAGACACACCATGTGCATTCACTGGCCAACTGTTTTTGCACCAATCGGTGTGTCCCGCCGGGCCTGCGCCTGAAACCCGAATGCTTGGCCGTGTTGTACGTCGCATGGCGCTTGAGGAACGACGTGTCCGCATCAAGTGTGATGTGGAGGAATTATGTGCGTGCGTCGATTGATCCAGAACACAAATAAAGACATGTTTCCAACATATGGGTCTAGAGTCTAGAATGGACTTAAAGACCATGGTTACTGTACTGGGTGGGAACCCACAGGGTATTGAAAGAGACCTTGTGGTCTTTGAAATATGCTTGCCCGAGTACATGGAACAATCAGCGCGACTTTAAGGCTTGTTATTTCATCCGTATGTTCAATGTTCATGACGCCACAGTAGGAGACATTTGCAGAGCTATTTCAGCCTCAGGGCACCAGCAGGAGACATATGATGCACGGGACCAGCGTGCCTACCGGCAGTGCAAAGGAGCTCTGTGACAGTATTTTCAATCGGACCCTGGTTGAGAACACGATCTTTCAGGGTTATAGTACGATCAGCGGTTGGAAGTGTGAAGTCTACAGGAAGAATTTTCTTCAGCTAACCAATCTTGTTCTTTAGTTACTGTGTATGATTAGAACTATATATATATATAAAAGGCTTCCAACCTCTCAGAATTGCAAGAGATGAAGGCAAGTGGTTCGCTTGACACATGTTTGTTCAAAGCATAGCCATTGACGTGGCGAGCATTTGGGACCAACTGAGTGAGAGAGCGAGAGCGAGAGCGAGAGGGAGATGGAGAGGGAGAGTAGAGAGAGAGAGAGAGTAAGTGAGTGAGAGTGAGAGAGTGAGGGTGAGAGAGTGAGAGAGTGAGAGAGTGGCAGGTGGAGTGGAGTGGAGTAACCGAGGAAAGTGAGATCTTGGTGTTTACCACAGCTTTGTTTTCTGTCAGCATGGAAGCTCAGCCAATAGGAGGAGCAACAGCACAGCCAATAGGGGTACAAAGGGGGTGTTACAAGTACAACAGGACGACAGCTTCAAAGAGCAATGTCTACAGCAACTTCAACGATCCCACTTAGAAGAGATGATGATCCTGCATGACAATGATCCTTATTCTCTTTGAAATACCTCAAGGCTTGCGTCTAGCGCTCGCGCTTTCTATGGCCGATTGTGCTGTACAACGTAGGTCTGTCCGGCCATCGTGGCACGCATCCCGGACTCAGCGCTACCTGAAATTCTGTCAACACCTGCCAGGAACGGTCCTGCGGTGCAACTCAGAGAGCAACGACACTTGAACCCCGGAATACTTGAGTCCTATTGAACTGAGAAATTGAATGAATGGCCACCAACCTAGCAGCGATGGCCTCCAACCTAATAGCGATGGCCTCCAACTTAGAAATTGAATGAAACGGAGCCATATTATCCAAGATGTCAAGAATCAAAAACCAGGTCTCGCTGTACTCCGCAAGTGTCGGTCGCGGTTTCGGCCACGCACTTTGCCGACCAAAGGTGAATCGAGTGGTACCGATTCGGGTCGAAAAGGCAGATAAGTCGTGAAAATCTTGTAAATATGGATCTGTTCTCACAATGTGTGCCGCCACCTGGAGCGGCCTTAGTCAAATCCAAAAAGTTGATTCGACCTGATGTTACATTCGACATGTGTCTTCAAAATCACACCGAGGGCCCTGCCCAGCTCAATATGGAAGTGGGCCAGTGCAAAACAAGCCTGCCAGCCGTCAACGCTAATCTAGTGGCTTGCAGCAACTACGGAAGCTTGATGAAGCTTGTCAAGACCTGCACCTCGTGCAGAAAGCCAAACCGTAGTCTTGGAGGAATCATACAGCTGTCCTCTAAACTGCAGTAGCCTTGGCCCTAGCGCCACACACTTCCCCCACAAACAACTCATGTCTGGGCACTGTGATCGCTCGACCATGCTCGGAGATTCGTATGCTGTTGCTGTTTTGTTGGTCCTTTACTCACTTCAAGGGGTCTTTCCATGCCCATCCCACGGCGGTGCACTTCAAACTTCAAACCATATCTTTCGTTTGAAAGGAATTGCAAGCAAGCCCGCAAGCCCGTCCCTTCATGAAATCATTCCTGCTGGCCTTTGCACATAGGCCGCACGGACTTAGACGAAAGGTCCAAGCAATCATATGGATTGGTCCTTGGTGCTGGATGTTTGGGGACAAGATGGAAGCTCCCCGTGATTTGAGGCATTGAAATGGCGGGTGAGAAAAGAAAGACACCTGAAGAGGCAATGAGGGAAAGGGTAATGTGATGTCTCTTCCTGCAAGGTAGAATGAAGTCAGCCCTGAACCACCAGCAAATGACCAGGAAGTGGTAGGGAGTCTATTGATCCCAGTGTCCTAGATCCGAGAGCAGAGATAATCATCCATGTATTAGTTATGAGTTATGAGTTATGAGTTATGAGTCATTGTCATTGTTTGCCCTGCTCAAGAATGTTCTCGTTCTTCAATACCCTTCCCTAAGTCTGCACAGCGCCACCTTTCAGTGGAAACCAACTCCCTTCCACTGAGGACCAGGCTTCAATGACAGGCAAACCTTTGTGAAGCCTAGGTTCTTCAGAATGGTCAGCCAAGGATGACCCGGACAGACTGGGGGCTGTGGCAGCAGGATCATACTCTCGAATGGGGATCTCATAAATCTTTTGCGCCTGCAGCTTGAGAGGCTTCAGGCAGTTGGGTTGTTCCTGATGGACTGTCATGCTAGGAAGCATCTTTGGCATCCAAGTTCGCTGCTTACAGCAGCGAGATCATGTAAGGTAATGTCCAGAGTCCAGAATATATATATATATATTATTATGTGACCTTCACAGCATGGAGTCCTCCGCTGCCATTGCACAGTCCAATCTTGCCGATCAAGCTCCCCTGCATAGCTATTGAATCCGGTGAACATTTAGACTGAAGGTCTGGACCGGCGAAGTTTCGAAACCTGGGTTCCGACTTTGGAAACTCTGGTTTACATCAATCTTGCGACTTTTGAGTGAACAGGCTCTTGACAACACCTGCTTCTTCTGACGGATTGTCTGGGGCGCCATGGCACTGGCATCCCAGCCCTCATGCCGCCCATGCCTAACATGGCCATGTCATGCAAGGTCGACCATGGGAGCGAAAAAGCTCCTAGTAGCATCCTTGTTCCTAGTAGTAAGGCCAGGAGCCCCTAGTAGCGTCCTTGTTCCTAGTAGCGATGCCCTTTGCTCCTAGTAGCTTCCTTCGTGAATCGTGAATCTTCAGAGCTGTGCTGCAACAAATTGAGATGGAACGGTCCTATTTCACACTCACTTCGGGCCTTGGGTGCCACCCTGCTCCTCAGTCCGCAAGGAAAAAATGTGAAACGAATTGAAATGTGTTTGTGTTCAATCAATGAAACAGGGGGCTTTGGGTGTCTTTTTGTTGTTCCTTTTTTGTTGTACTGTAATTTATGTTTGGACCTTCAGTTTCTTTTGCTTGAATTAGTGTCTGAAGTCGAGGCACTCACCTCTGACACCCTCTGAAAAGGCCAAATTCTGAAATCTTGGAAGGTGGAGCTGGTCGATCCCTTTACCATCTTCTCATGCAGCTATTGGTTTTGTTGGCAAATCATTCTGTTTGTCAAAAACCGTGTTGCTCCAGCTCATCGAAGCCAAGTCACGTCCAAGCTCCTGGGGCCGCGCCAAATGCACCGTACTGCCTTGGGGAGATTGGAGCGTTCAATGCCGAAAGACAAACATTGCAAAAGTTTCTAAAGGCCTTTGAGCTACAGTACCAACTCCAAAAACAAGGCATTGATGAAGAATGGGCCCTGTGTGGTATGCGCATTTGGTTTGAAAGAGCCACTTCCAAAGTGGCCATAGCAGGTCTTTTCGTGATTTTGGGGAGGTATCTTTGAACCTTCACTGCGGTTTTGTATTTGCAGCACCAGTAAGAATGATGTGTGGGTTGCCAAAGTCACAGGGGAGAAGAAGTTCACTCCACCAATCCGACATCTGCTTGGGTCTCTCGAGCACATAGCATTTGGAGCTAAAACTGTCTGAAACCCGTGTGCCGGCAACTATTGCCTAGTTGGCAAAATTCTGCCGTTGAGGCCGTTGAGGCCTTTAACAAGCTGAAGCTTGCTTGCTGTGGTTGACCTCTGTGAAGGGAACTATTCAAGACGCACAGAGTCCACATAGCCAGAACAC